TTTATCTCTATTTTTAAAAATTGTAAGTTGTCAAAATTTGTGCTTTAGTATATAATTTATTAAAAATTGTATAATATAATTATTACATTTAAATATTAAACGAAAATTTAAATATAACATTAATAAATATAAGAAATAATAATAAACAATAACAATGTATTGAAATATAAACTTACAATACGATCATAAAATTATGAATACATATATCACGTTTAACAGAAATTAGCGCTTTAAAATTATATTTTTAAATCCAGAAGAATAGTTCTTTTTCCGCGAAGAAAACTTCCAACAGTTTCAAAATAAACATCTGCTAAACACTCAAAATGAAAGAAAAACAGTAACTAAGCAACAGTAATCAAATTGTTTAGAACAGTCAGGCATATTTGCAATTTTGTAATTTAACGTTTGTGATGGATAATCAAAGTAATAATAATAAATATAATGAGTATAGTATAATGAGTATGTATAATGAGTATGTTCGGTTGTACATATTCATGTGAATAATTATTTTCTATTATGAAATTAAATAAATCGCGATTACGCGAACAGTTAACAGTTTCACATTTGAATGCAATAATTCGTTTAAGTTGTGCCAAAACGATAACACCTGATATATTGTATGTAATATCGGAAAACCATGAATCAAATACTAATTAAATAGTTACAAGAATTATTTATTTAATATTATTGTAAGAATTGTTTATTTAAAATATAGATACTTATTTTATGCTAAATTTTGGGTCTGAATTTATGCGATATTTTTTGACTCTTTGAACAACACGTTCAACGAACAGACGTTCCTGCTATCCCTTCTCCTCATTTTATTGCGTCTAGCGGCCTAATGCTAGCCCTAGTGCACTCAACTATTGCTCGCGGGCATTGGGCGCCCGCAAGCAGTGCCCACTTGCTACTTCTGTTGTAAACATCTGCACATATTTCTTTCCATTCATCTTTATTTGGAGAACGCAAGTAAAGAGGTGATAACGCAGCTACTATTGCAGCACATGTTTCTTTTACAACGGCATGCGCTGTTGATTCGCCCACATGATAAGCTAATGCTATCGATAATTGATTTTTGATTGCCTGTAGCGAGATATCTATAATAAAATTATATATATTTCGCTTATATATATAATAAAATTATATCATTTTTTACAGATTACAAATATTCTTTTATTAGCTTTTGTACTTTTATCTTAAATTACATTTTTATTGAATTTTATTAAAATGTGATTTTAATCATCTTTCGATTTTCTTTTTATTTTCTTTTTCCTTTAATAATTTATATACAAAAGTTGCAAATGCTTCAAATTATTTAGATCTTTCTTAATGTATATCAATTTTTAAAAATCGTTATATGCTTTATATTTTTATTATTAAGATTATTTTCACATATTTAATTTTATGATAAATTTTATTAATAATTTTATTAATAATTTCTCAGAACATAAATAAATATAATTAGAAAGATTCAACAATATATAATTAGAAAGATTCAAAATATAAATCGAAATATCTGCTATTAATAAATATGAACCATTGAAAATAATAAAGAAATAATTTAAAAAGATAATTTTTAATAGAAATTGATTTGACCTATTGTTTATTTTAAATAATAATTGTTTGAAAAAAGTTACCTAAGCGTAACTGCGAGACGTTGCTCGGATGGCTTTCAGACTTTCTTTTGATAGATACAAGAGCATCGTTAATAAAACGAAAAACGTATTTATGTCCATCCTTGTGTATCGAAAAAATAAATTTGGATCTTTATTTCTTGAAAAAGATGTTGGAAATCGCCTTATAGTATCCCTAATAGCATTCGTCTACTCTGAGAACGTTCCACGGGATATAAATATATCCGAGATATTCTCCGAACATTTGAAATACGTACCGCGATATACTGGAATGTACTTAGGATCGTTAAAAACAGTATATCATGTAGATGTGGCTATCCAGATAGCCATACAGATTGTGAAAATCTATAATATACGTGAGAGAAAGTAACGAAACTATTTTTTTATTTTGTATCATTGCACGTTTTAAAACAGTCACCCATCCTATTTGAGATCCTGCTCGATGCTGCTTAACTTCTAACGGAATGAAACCTGCAACTGAAATGATGATATAAGTCAACACGAAATTTTGACATAAAATGATACTTGTATCGATACTTCGTGGACATAGCACGGAACAGAACCACAAAATCGTGGACATAGTCGTGTTGCCTATCGACCAATTTCGTGGACATGTGCATTATATAGTTCAATGTCCACGATCGTGGACATTGGCGCTTCAAAATAAGGTAACAAATAAATCGCGACCATGGCTGCTCTCAGGCTTCTCTCTGCTACGAAAGTGTTTCTGAACGTAATCTGTGTGTGTGTGTGTGTGTGTGTGTGTGAGTGTGTGTGTGTGTTGTGTGTGTGTGAGTGTGTGTGTGTGTGTGTGTGTAGTGTGTGTGTGTGGTGTGTG